CAACCAAGGCCGACGTGTGTCAATCCCCAGACCAGCTTCGACACGAGCCGCTGACTGCGGCTACATGTACGTCGCGATCGAGTACGCGGCCGCGCGAAATTCATGCACATCGCCCCAATGACTTTGCATAGAATAGGATGACTTTTTTATGTTCCGGATAGGCTTCGATATCAAATAACGAATAATTAAGCCTTTCCAATGGCTGAGTAGGCTTTGATTACATAATATATTTAGTGCTCGAAAAGGCCGCGAATGACGTCATCAGGTCAATGCCACCTTAGTACCTTCTCAATGCCTTCTCAGCGCCCGAATAGGAATTGACCAATCATCCTGTCAACATGATGAAAAGATAATCATTTTCAAGTTATTTTCAAGGGCGGAAAAGGCATTGAAATGGTATCTTTTTCAAATCCTATTCGCGGACTGAAAAGCGGTAGAGTCTAGTTACCATCCCAATCCCTCACTCAAACCCTACTCAGAATCGGAATATTTGCGTTTGTCTCTGGTGTCAAGGGGTCATGCAGAATTTCTTCAGCTTTTTGACAAAATACCGGCTAAAGTTATATAATTGCTCAAAATAATCCAAAATAAGATTTTTCACGATCAAATACCACCACAGTCATACCCCATAGTCGACCTCTCCTTGATCCTGCCATGCCACCTCCTTGGGAAAACATCCCTTTTGGTTGTGACGACTATCCCACAGGCGAAGTCCTTCGCACTGTGGAACTAGTCTATGAGTATGCTGGGCGTCCACTTCCCCATCCAATTGACGGTTTCCACAATACACCCTCCCTCGGCTACGTGCCACCTGAAGAAGGCTTGTCAGAACCAAAAGCAGTCGTTCTCAACCTTCGAGAGGGTATAGGAGACAGCCAACGTGTCATATTCACCGTGAAACCTGCTACGATGATGATTACTCCAAAGATCGAAATGCAAGACTTCTGCGTCTGCAAGGGCATTGTGGACGATGTGATTGAGGCTCAAAGATTTGCTTATAAGTGGGCTGCGGACTCTGTGGCAGCGAGGGAGGCGAAGGAAAGGGAGGAGGCGCAACAGAGGCAGGCCGAGCACGAAGCTGTGATGGCCAATTTACAAGTAACGTTATCTGGCTCGCTTTGACTGATCAATGCCCTAACTTCTAGCTACACAGGTACTTATTGCATGGTTGCAGGCTAACGGACATGTACCCCCCAACGGATTCAGCAAAACAGGATAGATGCTTGACGTTTGCCCTGTAGTGCCAACTGACCATGTCATGCACTTCCATACTGGTCAATAAGCACGATCATTTCCTTGACCTAGCTTACGCGTCAGCATGCTTCCTCAAATGTTTCACATGTTCAGCTGAAGGGGGAAAGCTGTGCAGATTTGAGAGGTGACGTGGGTCTGCATGCGCGCCTCACTCTTTGGAAGCACTGCTGTGGCGTGTCTCCCCGGCGCTATGCAGCGCAGGCATGCACGGATGTCTAACCATACGAAAAGGACCTTCAAGTTCGGTGTCACCGATAAGCGGGACAACACCTTGAAGCTGCCTTTACACGAAACTTTGAATGTAACCAGAGGTGAGTCAAGTCTAGCCAGTCTGCGGACAGTGACTCTGCGGGGTCAGCATCGAAATCACAGGCTTCAAGCACAAGTCATTCTAGTTGCAGCTTGAAGGCAGACAGTTGATAAGATTCAAGTACCGACGCATGCTTGGTAGATGCCGCAACGGATTCAGCAGTTCACCACATCATGGTCCGCCGGTCAGCGAAGTATGCTGCAGCTTGCAATTACTGAACCTCTCATTGATATGCGCGTACAGATAACTTTTGTCACCCTGACACGAATTTAAACATCAGCCCGAGGTCCGACTACGTAATACATAACCCAGGCTAACTCAAAAACAATTCGCAGGACCTCATTCTCCCGAACATCGATGTCTTGTCATCCCAGACACGAACACAGGTAAGTTCACTTCCGGGAAGAGATAGTGCAAGGAAATGGTTTTGGGTATCTGCCAGTGGGTGCCGTCAGTGCGATGAACATCTTATGTGGTTGTCTGCCTCAAATGAACTCACGTTGATATAGCCAGGTACCAATCAGGTTCACAGTCAATGGGGTTCCCTGCAGCATCCTTTGCTTTGCCGATGCTGAACGAAGCCAATATGTTTGCCATGGCAATCCAGGAAGATCCGCTGGCGAAATGCCTGCCAGGGCATATGCGACGTCCAAATCCGAATGCGTAGGTGACCGTGTCGTCGTTTAGCTTTCCTTCCGAGTCTAGGAACCGCTCAGGCTTGAATGCGGAGGGGTCGGGGTACTTGACCGGATTTTGAGACATGGCCCTGAGATGTCCTTTTTTCAGAGAAATCGCAGAGCAAGACGTCGATACCATTTACCAGACATTAGGTATGATAACAGCGTCTATTCGCGACATGATGAGAGGTGCATGCTGATCAAGGCTCAATCGACTTGCCTTTGGGGATATAGTATCCTTTGTAAACGTCTTCGTTCGTTGCTGCATGAGGAACACCTACCCACACGGTGGATGTCAAAGGTCGGGGAGCTGAATGGAACACCGCTGATATCTCACCTATCGGTCCAACAGGCTTCAACCTCATTGTCTCTCGGTACACCGCTTCCAGGTACGGCAAGGACGCTCTATCTTGAAAATCAGGGAGACGATCTGTTCCCACGACCTTGTCGATCTCTTCCTGCGCACGCTTTTGGACCTCGGGATAAAGAACCATGGCTAGCATAAAAACGATGAGCGTTGCTCCGGTCTATAACAACGGTCATTCGTCAGAAGCAAGAGGAAGATCTCTGCATAAACACACCGTCTCCTCTCCAGCTAGCGGCGTCACGACATCAGGCGTAACGATAAAAGGATCTGTGACTACTCACTCACCTACGTACGCGATTCCGCACACGTCTCGCACAACCTGTTCGAAATCCTCCACCTTGTTCGTATCCATGAATCTCTTCAACGCACCAAGTCCAAAGCATTCATTCGCCTGCCCAGAAGCCTGCGCGGATAATGAGGAATTTTTGGAAGGATTGCATACACTACTCACAATCTTCTCCTCCAGTGATGCGAACGGCACGGTCGACAAGTCATGGATAAGATTCCGACATCTTGCCGCATTAAACCAACCACCAGGCGACCATGTTGGCGCATATTTAACTTGGTAATAACAATAGGTCACGATGTAACCTAAAGACAGCGAAGAGTGACTCACGGAGAGGGCAGATAGTAACGAGTGAGACATTGATAGGACTAGCGATCCTGGTGAGAGCTTCGGTAGCTTCTAGAATCGTGTTATAAATGAAATCGTCCCTTGGCTCTAGCTTGTGGTCATAAACCGCGCTCAAGATTACTGCCGCAGAGTACCTGACGTGGCACTAGTGTCAGCACGGCACGAGGTGAACTTGTTGCAAATGACTGACCTTCTCAAATGCTCATACCATTGATTGGACGTCTTCCCCAAAGCGTCCACAAGGTCGAGAGCGCATTGCGCCTGCGCGGGATGATACGCTTCAACCACATCCCCGCGCATTCCTTGATTGAAAATGCGCCGATGCGAACGCCAAACATCACCGTAGGGCAAGAACGGGGTCAATGTTCCCAGTGAATATCTATGTAGCCGTGATTAATCCCCCAAGAAGCAGGAGCCTCGTGAGTTTCGTATCTCCGCTAAGCGAAGAAGTGACTACTCACGTCTCAAGCAGAGATGACATATTCGTCCTATCGGAATAGTTGAGCGACCGCTTGTCCAACAGGTCAGCCGCCGTCTCCTCCGAGTTGAGTAGGATAATGTCTTGATTTGCGAGTCGACAGTACGTGATGTCGCCTGCAGCCGACAAAGAACGAGTCAGTGCACTGGTAAACTGGACTCTGGTGATCACCTTACCGTATAAGTCTCTCCACTCCGTAAATGTGAGCCAAGGTTGAGACAAATTAAGCTGGTGCACGTTCCCCAACAGGGGGATTCCTGCCGGACCTGGAGGACAGGCCTTGTCAACGCCTTTCTTACTGGTTGAAAGCCATGTCGTGACCGCGAGGGCGGCCCCCGCTGCGAGAGCGATGGCAGCTTTTTCAGAGGAGGTGAGCGTCATGAGTGGGAGATGAGCTGCGAGAAAGAGTTAGACGCACATTATATGACAACTCGAAACGGGTCTCCATGGCTAACATTACGGTCAGTGCCTTGTGTCTCTGCTTTCTCACCCAAAATAAATTCGCTGCGGGACAATGCTTCCATTATCTTATGATTAGGGGCCTAAGCCGGACACATGTTCTTACCGAGCTCCTTCTGAAAACCGGCTTTTGTTGTTATATGTGACAGTGGGGCAAGAATGTATGCTGTGCGCTTCGAGGATGCGAGCGTGCTGAACACATGGGGATGAATATTTCTCTGAACTCAGAGCAAACAAGAGCACACGCCAAACAAAAGACGATGCGACCAAGTACCGAGATAAATGAGGAGTGTACCCACCAATCGTAAAGGGAGTGAGCGGCTAATTCAAGAGCGGTAGCAATCCTGAGAGCGTGAGTTCTCCGACTTTGCGTGATAAGCGGCGCGATCTTGACTGATTTTCATGCGAGATCTTGATCATGAAACATCATTGAAACGCGGCGTTAGAACCAAAGAGAACCGTGGAAGCCTAAACAATCCCACTGGTGCTAACCATGTAGCAGGAAGCTTCAAAACACCCCTAAAACCATTAAGGTCCGGCAACAGATGTGCATTGACTCAGAGCGACGTTGTTTCTGCATAACATTCAGTACATCACTACATTTACTTTCCTTGACACCACCATAACAAAACGTCACGCATACCACATAGCCTTGAACTCTTGCATCATCCGCATCTTACTCCACTCAGGTTCGTATTCCACCGTCAGAACACTCAAATCATGAGCAATCTTGGCCCCTATCCCCTTCATCTGCTCCTGCTCAACTGAGCCTTTAGCGCCAAAACAGGGGTTGATAAATCCGAGACAGGCTAGCGAGCATTTTGAACGAAGGAGGAATCCAGGCAAGTGCTCTGCCGTCTTGTTGTCTAGATAAATCGCTGCTTCTTCAAGAGAGGGGAGGGAACCCGAGGTCGTCAAAAATGGTCCCATATCATAGGCAGCGTCGGGGTGGTAGATAGCTATACACCGGAGCCGCTCATGAGAGAGGGGAGCGGAGGTCTGCGTCACCGAGCCGGACAAGTAGAAGTCGGTGAGCTCGGGATAAACCGATAGAGGAGACGAAAGATGTAGGCTGAGATTCTCGCAGAGGTCGAGGACAAGAACTTTAAGACCAGGCCCCATGGCAGGTAACTTCAAAGAAGGGCCAGTGATGGTGTCATATCTTCGCATCCGCAAATGAAGATGAGTAAGTCTAGTCCAGTTTGCGGAAAGACGTGCGGCATCGACGTCAAGGAAGCAGTCTAAGAGTGAAAGCCTTTCAAGTCGACTGAAACGCGCGAGAGCCACGGCTGTAGTCCGCTATACATAAACCAAGGAAAATCTCTCTTGTGGTTGGGGACCGCATATACGTCTAGTCCTTTGCACCTTTGCTCGAACGACGCTAGCAGACCTAAACTGCACCTCTTCAAGAACTTGGTATGAGCGACGGCAAGACCAACGGATAGGTAAGCCGAAACAGAAGAGATCCTCGGAAGGAACTGAGACTGTAGCACGTAGCCCCACTGTGTAGTGTATTTCCCGCGAAGGTGAATTTTGTTCCAGAGACGAGGCGTGTTCAGAGCAACGGTTCTCCAGCGTCTGCAGACGTGAGATATACTAAAGGAGGTAGAAAAAGCGGCTCTCATGGTGTCACAGGATGGCCTTGCATCGCCGACGTAGGAAAGCCGAGCCAAAAGGAAGATTTCAGTCAAGATTTCGACGGGAAGACGCCCGAGAGCAGAAGTAAACCTATCGTATGCGTTGGTGAAGTGATCGAGCCTCTTCTTGAGCTCGTTGAGCGCCTTGATCGCATGGTCGAAGTCCCGAGTCAAGATATATGCGCTAGATTTGAAGCTACGTATTAAGTCGGCATCGGTTAGGGTAGCGCCGTAGTTGGAAGTAGAGTAGCTCGCGAGAGCGTGTTTGTTTATTTCGCTCTATCTCATGAACCTAACTCAGACGCTGCTGTTAGGGGTATCGCTAAATGCTCGCACCTCGACCTTCCATCCGGTGAGCGAAAGCTGAGTACAATTGAAAACGGAACCCATCAGAGACACGAAATTATAAAGTATGTCATACACAAGAGACATACAGCGTTGGCGAGCTCCTTGCAAAATATGATTTGCTGAGCTGAAGGACACGGAATTGTAGTGGGCTATATACGGTCCGTAGATGGCCCTTGACGGTAAGGAAGTGACCAGACTTATATTGTTTGTCGCCATCTGGACGCTGCTGGCACAAATTTATGTTGTATACAACTCTTCTCGTCAAGAATTGGTGAGATAGCGAAGAAATGGTTCCCGAGAGACGGCGAATAAGGTTGTCGATGACCGTGTTGGTAGAGTGCTGGTCGTGTCATGGGAGACGACGCGCGACTGAGATTTAAATTTCATAGACCGACGCTGCATGCCAAACTTTGCGCACGCTCTAGCACGCCCTATCCAGACTGCACTACCATGCACTATGACTAGGTGAACCGCCTGCAAATCGACTCCTCATTTACATCTTCCATCCTTGAAGCGTCATGGATTCGGGTTCACGAAATCTCTTCAAGCAAGGCTCCACTGGGTCGCTGTAGCACGTATCAGGGGCTTCAAATGAAGTTGCTGTCAGGACCGCGCAACTAGAGGCTGAGCGTGCGTCCCTCAGGATATCGCAGCAGGGAGCCCAATTGGACAGTGGAGCGATGGAAGGTGCATCGTCCCAGCCTTCGTCTTTGAGCTCTAACCAGGAAGAAGACTGGGAGCACGCACCAACCACATCCTCCGCGACTCCGAAGATGGAAGAGCCAGGCGCAAACGCGCGCAGGCGCAAACGCGCGTAGGCCCCCAAGACGGGAGCGATGTCGGGGGCTCCACGGAATTGCTAGCATCGCCCTTAGCACAGGGGCGTAGGGGCAGCAGGCAGCTACGTTTGCAAGAGAGGCGGGACGGCTCTGCGAGGGGCTCAGCAGATACTAGGTAGACCATGATCGGACTAGTAATGGGGGCAGCAGGACAGACGACGCGAACTGTTATGACAACGATCACTTCTGGTCTCAATCTACATTGTCCTTGCACTGCATAAGATAGTACGTCTCGCGGTCGTGGGGGACATCCGTCATCTACTACACAACATCACGAGTACCACCTAGCCTTGAGCTCCCGCATCGTGCTCGTGTCACTTGGCCAATCCGCAAACTCCGCAATAGGAACACTCAAGCTATTAGCGATCTTTCTTCCGAGTGTCCTTAGCCGCTGTCTCTCGTAAAGATCCCCGTCCTTTGCGAAGCCGGTATCAGCAAACTCCAGACGAGAAATGCGGCATCTCGAGCGGTCAATGAATTCGCTTAGCTGCGCCTCCATGTGTTCATGAATGGATGTTGACAGTTCCACGAGCGAGGGGAGAGTAGCCAGGTCCAGGAAGCGCTCGACATGATCGTTCCAGTGCCACCCGGTGTTATGCACACCAACGCGCTTCAGTCCCTCATGGCAGAACGGGCGGGAGTCTCTTGACATTGGGCCATCTAGGAATAACTCTGTGAGACGAGGGTAGGCCGATAACGAAGCAGGGTCCAAAGATAGAGAGTTGACGAGTTCAATAACGAGAACTGTGAGATGAGGGGAAACAGGTAGGGAAACTGGTGTGGTCCGACCGATCTTGTTTCGCAGTCGCAGATGCAGGTGTGTTAGATTCTTCCAGTGTATGGATGATTTTGTACAATCGGCGTCAAATCTGCAGCCCAAAAGTGACAGTCTCTCTACCTTGCAGAATCGCGCGAGAAGCCCTTCGACCTTGCCATAGTCGTAGAAGAAATAATTTCTGTGTTTGTAATCCGGCGCCGTATAAACGTCAAGACCTGTGCACTTCTGTTCGAATGCCGACAGCGGTCCCTTTTTGCACCTCTGAAGAAACCTGACGTGAGCCGGCGGAAGCCCGATAGCAAGGTATGAAGGAACAGACGCCGCCCTTGAGAGCATCTCGAGCGGCGCGCGCAGTGCGTCCTGGTTCAAGTTCATTGTCCCATGAACGTGCATCGTGTTCCACAGTCGTGGAGTGCTGAGAGCAACCTGTCTCCAGCGTCTGCATACCTGAGCCTCGTTGAAGGAGGTCAGAAGCCCTGGGTGACGTTTGGTGCTGAGGTATGAGTCCTTCGCATCACCAAGATAGCGGGATCGTGTCAAGATGAAGATTTCGGCCAAGATCTCGGCTGGAAGACGTCCAATAGCAGAAGTGAATCTCTTGCACGCGCGTGTAAAATGGTCAATCTTTCTCTGTAGGTCTTTGAGTTCCAGAGCTGCGTCATCAAAGTCGCGTGTCAAGATATATGCATCGGACAAGAACTTTTCGATAACGGCATGCTCTTGGGGCGAAACGACTACGTGGTTGGTATTTTGAAACTGAGCAATTGTGTGTGTCTGCATTGCATGCTAGAGCATCCGACGTTAGATGCATGAAGAGAATAGTTGAGGCGCCCTTACGTCGACTTGCCGTCTGGTCAGCGACAGCTAAACCGCGCCCACGACGGACTATATAAGTGATGACGCGTATGCTGCAACGCGCTTTAGACTTACAGCTTGATTGAATTTGATTCGGGCTCCCAATATGTTGCCATCTTCAAGAGACGATGTACCCGAAGACGAGGAGCTCTGCATATAGTCAATGAGGACCCCTTTGATAGACGACATCCACGCTGTAACAATCGTACGCTGGCTGCATCTGACTCAAAGCTGGCTCCATGTGCAAGCTGGTTCATGTAGCGAGGTTTCTTTGGCATCAATAGGGTAGAGGTTATGCGATGGATTGGTGAAGGGTAGAATGAGGATAAAGTCAATATCAAGTTTGTGTGAGTGAGGCTTTGGATTGAGGCGACGCGTTCAAGCGCGTCCCCACCATCAAGCGCCGTAAAATTCCCACGCTCAGGCGCCGGCTCAGCGCGCTCCCAGACATGTCAGATTTCAAAGTCTCTACTAGAGCTTTTCGTCACTTGTATACATCCTGTAGGCCGCGCACATACATACCGGTATGGACGTGCGATCGAATTTGGTCATTCGTTTTACACAATCCCATTCAATGACGAATCAGAAATGTACTATAAAACCTAGTGACTCCAAGTCGCAGAAAACCACAATCGTCTCTTCTTGCTCCAACATCAAGCAAACCGCACTCCCTTCACTTTCCACGGCTTTTCCCTCCGAGATCTACTGGCTTCGGCTTGCTCACGATCAAAACCAGCCACGAATTTGACGCCCGCGTTTTGCTCGAGCGGTTCCGGCGCTTCTGTCGTCTTCACCACAGGCGCTGACTCGTCCACGTCGTCCGCGAACCTCACTATTGCTCCTCGTGGCTTGGCTTTCCGGGGTAAGGGTTCGTTCGCAAAGCCATTAACAGCCTCCGCAAACCTTACACCTACTTTGTGTGGCTTGGTTTGCGGCGAGGGTTCGTTCGCCGGGCCATCGGTATCCTCTGCGAAGCTTACACTTATTTTCTGCGGCTTGACTTGCGGCGAAGACCCGTTCGTCGAGCCGACGACATCTTCAGCGAACCTTGTGTCTACCTTTCGCGGCTTGTCAATTACTGCGGGTCGATCTTGATCCACAACCGTAACATCCATGGGCCGATCCTCCGACAAAGTTTCTTCTACATCCATCGCGCTCCGTGATGCATTGTCCTCGTCCTCGACACGAGGCGACGAATCAAAGTCACCCAAAAACGGTAGATCGAGTGCATGCTCCTCCCCAGAGCTTTCAGACAGGAACGTCGGCGACTAAAAGTCACTTTCAGATGACGCCCACGGGATGGATTTAGGAGCTGGGCTCTTACCTCCAGGAACCGCCTCATGCCCGCGTCCGAAGTCAGCGGTGGGATCTTGTTGGTTGCTCCTCTGAGGTGCTGGCGGCGGTCCATCATCTCCTGTTCTGCGGTCGAGCGGATCGCGAGGGTTTTCACTAAGGGAGGGCGTCAAGTGTGCTTTCTAATGAGCAGAGTAGTCCGTAACGTACCGACGATAGGCCTGGTCTGGCCCATACGATGGGCACGCTGTTAATTTCCGCCAATGAGTGCCTCGTCTTATGCAGTACAATAAACGAAGTCCATACCTTGATCGCCTGACTCTCAACATCTGGCTGCCACACCGGCTCGCAAAAGATGATACGTGAGGCCGAAATGAGGTTCCTATACAGAGATAAGTCAACGACCAAGTCAAGTCGAAACATTTCGATACGACGTACAATCCACGAGCGGCATGCTTCAGCTCCATAAGAAACACGCGGAACGTGTCCGACGTCTCGAACGTCATGACGAAGTCGTCGCGCTTGTCCCGCATAATCTCGGTCGTGTACCGAAGGAACTTGACCTCGATCAGCGACAGCCCTTCGGCGACGTGCGCGAGCGTCAGTGGCGACGAGGAGAAGATGAGGAACTTCTCGTCGCGGTGGTGTTCGAGGACCTGGAATTATCACATACACTTAGATTTAGTGTGAATTCTGTAGGATACGTCGTACCTCCTGGAGAATGAAATTCAACTTCGTGGACAACGAGCCACCCACACGCGTCTGGCGCATCGGAGACGAAGCCAGCAAGGGAGAAAGCGCCAGCGCTGTCGGAGCGCAGGGCGACGCCAACGCCGTCGACATAACAGTCCCCGGCTCCGCGACCCCCTCCTCTTCCTCATCCGCCCGCTTCATCAGCACCTCCATCTCCTGGTCCACCTCACTGACCATCCGCCTCATCAAATCCTCCTTCTCCACAGCCTGCACACTCGCAGCCTTCTTCTCACACCTCGCGGCCTCGAGCGCGCGCACACCGAGCCCCTCGTCGACGAGCGCGCCGTGCGTGATGAGCGGCCGCCGGCGCACGAGCTCGCGCAGCTGCACGAGCCTGTTCGCGTGCATGACGCGCAGTGGCAGATCCTCGGCGCCGTGCGTCGTCCCCAGCTTGCCGCGGTTCCAGGCCGCGAAGATCGGCGGATCGAGGTGCGAGACGCGGAAGGGGACGTCCTCGTGCACCTGCATCGCTCGCCAGAGCTTGTCGTTGGCTGCTGCGTGTCTACGAAGACATTTATGAGCTGCTGGGATGATGTGGGTTGAAGTTGATAGCTCACGCATGGCGGATCGATTGCTCCAGCAGGTCGATATCTGCTTGCGGCACCCCACGTCCTCTGGCACGATCGAGGAGCTCCTCGCCGTCAAAGGAGATCTGGTCTACGTTATAGAGAATGTCGGACGCAGACCAGAATAGCCCTCTGTTTAATACTATTGCCTCAGCCGATGGACAGTGGAAGAGAATAAAGAACTACGCACTGCGACATGTTAGCAACCGCTGTATTCAGCTCTTTCAATCTCTAAACCAACGGCTTAGTGCGTCGAACCACCCATAAAACGCAAGGAACTGACTTTCGGGTGGAAGAGGTAATCCTGACATGGATGAGCTTCGACTTTTCCCGTAATGTTACGCGAGAACGCTTACAATATCCGTCCGCCGCGAATCAACAGCGTTGACCGCTACAGCCGCCAACATCGCGTTGTACGACTTGCGTGCATATGGGTCGAGGTCCATGTACTCGGTTTTATGCGTCATCGGCGGGAGCCCGACCTCGTTCTCCACGTCCTCGATCCTGACGTCCAAGTTAGCCGATTTTATGTCCTTCCAGTGGCACTGAAGCACGGGGAACAAAGCATCGCGGGTACGCACCTGTGACGCACCATCACCATCTGCATCGCCTGGCTCAGGACTTGCACCGCGAACGGGTGCGGTCCCTGCGGGGCACATAAGGGCGAAGACACGCAGCGCGTGAAGAGCTTCCCGTCGCTCTTGAACCGTGGTACGCCGAGGAACTTCGCGATCATCACGCTGAGTTTGCGCAGGTTTGCTCGATCGTCCACCGTCCATATGCGCCGGGGAGCAGACGCGGGCTCCGGGTCTGCATCGGTGTCGTTATCATCGTCGACGTTCATCACGATACCGCTCTCCGTCGCGGGCTGCTGGTCAGCAGGCGAGGCCGAAAGCTCAGGCTCGCGGAGCAATCCCACAGCCTGCCACTCATCACCAGAGTCGCTCGCCTCGTCCGAAACACTACTACCGCTGCCACTCCCGCCGCCGCCCGTCAGATCCTCCGTATTCGACCGCCCAAGACTGAGCCCAAGCGTATTAGCCGTCGGCGTGCCAGTGACGATCCACTTGCGCTCGATGCTCATGGTGGGTATGAAGCGGTTGATCGTGTGCTCGATGTTACCCGACGTGTGGCCCTCGTCGATGACCAGCCGCTTCCAGCGCACCTGCAGCAGCGGCGAGGCGTCCGGCCGCCCCGGGCATCGGCAATCGGGGACGCGCGAGCCGGGGATGAAGGGGCAGGTGCAGGGCTGGGCGGTGAAGAGGGATTCGACGTTGGTGCGGGTCGATTCTCTGCGGAGGCCTGGTGTTTTGTGAGCGGTTGTTATGCGGTATGGATCGAGGTACTTACAGGCGTCGCTCATTACAATCAACTAAGCAGTTCGGTCTCAGATGTCAACAACGAAGAGCGGTACCTGACAGACTCACATCATACTGCGACGCGAGCTCCTGGGCCGATGGCATACGATCCTTTATGCGCAGTAACTTGTACTTGACGTCCGACGTACAATGCTTGAGAACTTCCCGATCCCACTGGCGCAACAGGTTGGATGGCACGACCACCAACGTTGCCGAGCTGAGGTACATGACCCGCGGATGGCTCTGGACTTTTCGCAACCGTGAGCGCGACGACGGCGCTTCCCTGTGGACGTGATAAAAAGGGATGTTACTCTGCAACGGCTTCCACAAGTTGCGTGCCGCAAGTTCTTCTTCGTACTCCCTCACACCAGGGGCGCACGGAAGAGTCCGTAGGCCGTGGATGAGGATGTCTACCAGACTTGGAACCGGCCATACTTCTTCAGATCGAGGACCTCCGTGAGCATGACAATGAGAGGTGGCGTATTCTGGCGACCTGAACGTTCGGCACGCAACCGGAGACATCACCGGGCGTTCATACAGATCGCAGTCTTCAGGATCGGGACGTTCCTCAATGGTCGCCAGTATCAGCGCGAGCACCATCACGGTCTTCCCCGTTCCTTAGTAGCGGCGGAGTAAGCACAAGACAGCGCCTATGTCATCCGCAGACATAGACTAACCGAGCTCCTCGCACAGAATCCCACCTCTCACCGGCGCAATATTGGGGCACTCTCGCAGTACCTCCATCGTCGTTGGCTGGAGGAACATGTCTTGCCCGCGCATGCTGGGCATCTTGACATAAAGCGGGTCTGGCACAACCTGGTGTGACGCCTCCTTCTCGATCATCATTGCGACCGACCGGCGCTGGTAGTTGTACAGGCTGCTCCGCAGGCCCCACACAGACGAGAGCGCGTCGGCCGCGTTCGTTGATGATACACGCGGGGAAGGTAGGTCGCTGTAGATCTCGGCCATGGAACGATTGTCCTACGCGACGTTCGGGAAACTTTGTGGCGCGAAGAAGAGACGTACGTACCAGCTCACGAGGCACAAACATCTTTGGGTCCTTCAATTTGAACGTTGTCGCGACCGCGTCCCAGCACGACGGCTCCTGGCGCACCTCGGCGAGGAGAATCTTGAGGTAGCCTCGCGCCTGGGCAGCGACTACCGCGTCGCGGTTGCGGAGCCGACCTCTCGCGTTCGGCAAGTCGTGAGGTATTAGGTAGATCCGCACAAACAGGAATCTGTTCAACGAGGGCGTGGTGCAGCACGTCGCGCGCACATAATAGTGCTCAACGAGGAAGGCAAGGGCAAGCAACAGCTGCTCTGTCATCGCGTTGTGCAGCTGAGCCAGACTAGGCAGAGTGTGCCAGCCATCGGTAGCTGACGGCTGTGACGCGACGAGCTGAGGGAGATCAAGAGACTTGGCTGTTGGGATGGGTATTGCACCAGCTGGCAAAAGGTTATCAATGGCGAAGACGTTCGATACAGAAGCCAGCTCAGTGAGTGCATCCGTCTCTGAGTAGCGCGAGGACTTTCTGCGCTTTGTGGGTGTGCCAGGCATGTTTGGATTGAAGCCTTAAACGACTGGTGTACCAGCGAGAAGAGAAAGGACGCGTAGGTCTTCCTCTCGCTGACGAGTCAAGAAGCGCAGTGCGCACACAGGAAATCGTCTCCGCTGCGGTGTCCCACGCCGGCCCGGGAAGCGCTGGGTGGCAGCCGAAATCGTGAGACCAAAATTCCTTTCACGGACGCAGCATTTGGCAGGCAACCTCTCGGACATTGCGAACGCGCACGGCAGCACCTCCACCTCTCCTCGCCTCCGACCATGTCCCTCCCTTGCAGAACGAGGATAAAACCGCTTGGTGTTCCTCGGAACCCCTCTGCGAAGTCAACGAGGGTCTCGAGGCGGAGTTACACTACGTCAGCGCCTTCGGAAGAGGCCAAGCAAAACCTTACATGGCCGGAATATCTCGATATTCGGAAGAACAAGCGTAGATGGGAGACCGTGCGTTCAACAAGGGATGCAGTTTATACGCATCTCTAACGTCTATCCCGCAGGCTGCCACTATTCCATGCACCATCCTCGGTTTCGCAGGCGGTGTCGCGTACTTTGGCACGATGGAAGGAGACGCAACTAAGCCCATCATGGTTCGTGCACTCACCCCGGCCTCATTCCTCCATGTACCTCACCCACATTTCCAGGGCGTCGACCCCCTCTTCTTCTACGGCGGCTGCACGGTAGCCTGTATGGGTGCGTCCAACCAGCTCCTGCTCCTCTGCGATATCACCTCACCTCTCCTCCTCCCCAGGCCTCGGCTACCTCGTCGGCCCCGCCCTCGGCGCTGCCGGCTGGCGAATGACCCACAGACGCACCATGAACCTGATCGAGCAGAAGGACCGCGACTTTCATAAGCGGATAGTCAAGAACCGCGTAGACCCCACCGCACAGAGCGCGACGAACCCCGTTCCGGACTTCTACGGTGCGCTCCCTCTCTTTCTCCTCACCTTCTTCCTCTGAGTAGCGTTCGGTCTAACTTGGTTATCGTGGATAGGCGAGAAGATAGGGTCGCTAAATGGGTATAGACAGGTTCGTGCTTAGTCCCCAACTTTCTCATGACAGAAAGCTAAACGTCTTATTTCAATCTGCAGTGGCTAAGAGACCAGGCGCGGTTCAGAAAGAAGGCGCGTTTCTTGGACGAGTAGACGTCCACACGTCCCTTTTCGTCGTCATACGTACATCTCTGTTGTATATATCATCCATCGACTAATGCACAAGTTTACTCACAACTCATCATCAACACCACAAGCTGGTTTACTGCAAGGGTCAGCGTCGGCCCAAGCGACGTTTCGGATTGAATTGATTGTAAGCAGCTCCAAAATGTTATGTATAAATATGGGTAAATGCGTCATGAAAAGTATAGAGGCTGCGCCAAGGCAGACCGTCCTCTGAACGAATAGCGAAATAAGTTAACTGCTAGCAGTCATCAGAAGAAAATTGCGTAGTCGAAAGCGGTGCGTAATCCGAAAACCAGTGATCCTTGCGGAGCCGTAGCACATAGCGGGGGTAAATAGGTATAAGTCAAGCCCAGACAGTTCTTCTTTCTTTCAGATGGGAGTGAGACGCAGACAGACTTTTCGCAGAACCCGTAGCTGGGCAGTCGCCCGTTCCCGCCAATCTACCTCACCATGACCATAGCCATATATCTGGCGTAGGGTGATGCAGCAGGAAGCGCAGGCGAGCATGCCGTCAGCCTGACGCTGGCCCTCGGACGTCGTCGATCGTTACTGGTCATCAGCACGCCGCGCCGCGCCGCGGGGGCGTTGTTGGACCGCAGGCTGGCGCATTCAATTATCGTAGTTCCTCTGCACCTTCTCGAGCGTGCGCGCCTTGTACCCGCTCGCCGAGAGCGCGTACGGGTTCGGGCTCGGCGGGGCGGGCGACGTCAGTACCTCGGCGCCGTAGCCAGGCGGGAACGCGGGCTCGTCGCTCGAGCGGCCCGGCAGCGGCGGCGACGGCATTGGCGGGACAGGCGGTGCTGCCGTGGGGAACCCGTGCGGGGTGCGTGGCGTGCGCGGGGTCATGCTGCCGTGGCGCGGCGTGTGCGGTGTGCGCGGGGTGGGCGGGAGCGGCACGTCCGCCGCGTCCTTCTCAGGGTCGTACACGGGTCCGCGGATAGACTTGACCTGCGGTGCCCAGCTGACGCCGTCGCCCGGCGTCTTGGGCACCGCGAGCGGCCGGGGCGTCTTCAAGTCGTCGTCGCCGTGTTGGAATGCGGGCGATGCCCCGTTGAAGTCGACTTCGTACACGCCTGCGCTGATCTCTGTTGTGCTGCTGCTGCGTGCACGTCTGCGCTTGAGGAACTTCCATCCAATGAAGGCTGGAGGCCCATGGCAACGATAGCGGTGCAAGGGTGAAGTTCGCGTGAATGTCGCGGTAAAGATAGGGGCGCACATGGCGGATTATGGCATGGAGCGGGAGCTATATTTAGCCTCCGGTTTGAGCTGCGGAGGGGAAAATGTCAACGCACCCAGGACGAGGGCGGCAATAATGCCCATGATAACGGCGAAAATCGCCAATGAGCTCGGGGCATTTGACGAGCTCGGCGGGGGCGGGTTTGAGTTGGTAGCAGCGTCCTGGACGAGGTCTGACTCTGCTTGAGGCTCAGAGCGGGCGTCGAAGAAGCGGGCGACCCAGTGTTCGTTGTTGTCTTGGGGAGACATGGTGACTGTCAGGGGTATTCGGCTTGTTGATAGTGGTGACGAATATTAGGGTGGTTTGTAGTCGAGACTGCCAAGCAAAGAGCGTGAGGGCGATTCTCTAGAGCAGAGATCGTTCGAAAGGTGGTAAGGCCAAAGTAGAGTGCGTTGGTAAGAAGCAAAAGCCGTGAAACGGGGGGCGCTATCCAGTAGCTTGCGACTTTTCCATGGTACCTGATGGACCTTTTTGTAGCAGGGCCGATGATCTTCCCTGCGTCCGGCATAGCAACCCTGTCCAGATGGATCCGCCAGCGCCTCTAGGCGCCTCTGTAAAGATCAAGAGAAATGTGTACTCGAAGGAGTGTTCGACCTAGGCACCATCTTGACCCAACATCTGTTGGCGCGCTCTTTGGCAGGTCTGGCATACTAACACGGCTCCCTATATCAGTGAACCCTCCACTAAACCTCCACTTTCCCCACACAGCGTCGAGATGCATCACGATCAATGCACAGCTCTATCCATACGCTAATCTTAGCTCAACACTGCCGAGGCCAAGGCGCAAAGATCTGAAACGAACATCGGCGTTAGACCGCAATTGCAATTAATTACTAGCTATAATCATCATAACGGCATTCGATAAAGAGTAAGTAAGTGGAGGTCATAAGACCATCGACATGAGGGGATTCATAGGTTAAATCAATATCTAAGTGAGAGTTCAAAAGTTCGACAAAGTCATCATTAGAGAGAGTCTAGTAGCTGGCTCGACACCGCGCGGTACAGCGACCTCGCGCCTTCGGACGGGATATAGCTCGGGATCGCCTTCGCGACCAGGTCCTCCACGTCCTGCGCCGTCATCTCCTTCACGGCATCCTCACCTGCGAGGGCGTACACCGCCTCCGCAGCGATAGCGCGCCGCTCGTCCAATGAGAACGGGACAAACGGCAGCGTCGCGGACACTCGTGACATGAGCGACGCCTGAAAAGCGGAGATGGCATCGTAGGGCGTTGGGCGTTGCCGGCGAATGTGGGTTAGGACGGTGGCGATGATAGTGATGCGTCGACAAAGCGTGAGGAAAGCGAAACGTAAGCATGAGATAATTGAACCAGCGGAGGATAGCGACGGATAAAAATACGCACCCCCATGGCATTGAGAAGGCGGGATCTCACGGGCGACATCAGCTCGACGTACTCCTCCCGTGAGAACGGAGCCTCGGGGTCTGCGCGCGCGTCTTGATGCTCAAAGACGAGGTCATGGCCAATGTTGGACGTGCCGATCCAGACGACGTTGCGCACGTCGATGTGACGTTTGCCTGCCTCGAGGGAGCAGCGACCTGCGATATACAGAACCAATCGTGTCAGATAATGGGCGCAATAATGGCGGAGAGCGATAGCGGTAGGCAACTGACCAAGCTCCCAAGGCATCAACAATGACCAGAGGCACGTCTCGTGCTGCGTCTTTTCGATCTCCTAAGAACGAAAGCGATGGATTTGGTCAGTGTCAGACACGAGGACAGTCATCGGCCAATGCCGACCGCATCACAGCAACTCACATCCAGGACGACGACACAGCGCTTGCCTTCGTTCTCCATCAAGAACTCCGCGAGCGTGCTCGCAGAGGGCTCCTATGGCAAAGCGCACCAACCGGATTTGTCAGAACGCGTCCGTGCATCACGCACCCTGAATCTCTATCAACTCTCACCTCATATGGACTCATCGAATAGGATTGCCAGAGGTCGTTGGTGGACTGGAGCGTCGTCATGTTGACAGTGTGCGTTGGGACATCAAGAAGGGAGCCGACTGGGGGCAGCATTGTACATCAGCAACGAAAGAAGCTCCACAGGCAACACGCGTAAGCAACACTCACATTTGCGAGCAAGTAAACTCTTGCCATGTCCACTTGGGCCTGAAAACGCCACATAGAATGCATCATCAGTCACTATCAATGCTGACTCCATAAAGATCCACCCATAGGTTACTCACCGCACAGCATCACGACGACCGGGGAGACCGAGAGCTTCTGCGAGTGCATGCTGAGAACACGGAACAGCTGCTCGAACACGCAGTCCTGCCCGATAACGTCGTACCGGACCCGTATCAGCGGGCGGAAGACTGAGCGGTAGACGAGCTGCGAGATGTGACGCGTGTGCGCCGAGCTCGCGCGCCTGACAAAGTACCTGCAAAAATGCAGAACGTTACGGGGACACCATATGCATCAGCACTCAGCCTTGATCGGTATCATAGCAAATAACGATGACGTACCGAGTCGCGGGGTCCATACCCTCGAGCGTAGTCGAAAACGGCAGCTCGCCCAACGTGCTCCTCGCACTCCCATGCTCGGACTCAACTCCTGACTCTCTCCCAGATTCCGATCTCGCCTCCGCATCACTATTCGCGCTAGCAACACTTGCGCTCCTCGGCGGATTCATATCCGCCTTGCTCAAGCTCGCCGGGTTCGCGCCGTACGCCAGCAGCGCCTTCACGATCGCCGCCTTGTTCGCCAGCTTCTCGTTCGTCAGCGCGAACGCGAGCGCGCTCTGCGGGCCCAGCCGGTCGTTCGGCCCCGCCTCGCCGCTCTCGAGCACGCGCTTGACCGCTTCCGGGTCGTCGCTCGCGATCGCGAACATGAGCGATGGGTTCGGCGTGGCGATCGCGTGCGCGGGCGACATGGCCATGGCCACAGGAGCCTGGATGTGGGCCGCCTGAGAGGCCTGGGAGGAGGGACGTGTGTAGGCGTGGGTGGGGCTGATGCTGCGTGCGTGCGTAGGGTGGACGGAGAGGTGTGGGCTGAAGTCGCTGTCGCTGTTATAATTGTCGAAGTCGCCGTCCGTATCGGCAGCGCTGCCTTCCGCGTCATATTGAAGCTGAGAAAGTCGAGATGCGCGGGAGGAAACAGAAGAGGCCCGTTGGAACATGTCCTGCGGCGTGAAGCTCCGAGAGCCTGCTCGGTAATGGGAGAGTCGCCAGGATTGACCAGACGCCGAGGGTGCAGCGTTCGATCGTGTACTATGTGCACTAACACTAGAAGGGGAATTTGCAGATGAAGGAGCGTGGGAAGAGCTGGATGCGGCGGACGATGGAGAACGAGAGGCGTAGGCTCGTGGCCGTGTGTTATTGTGCAGGGGTATCTGGGACGAACGTGCAGACGAAAGCTGGGGGCATTGTTGGAATGAGATTGGTGAAATGGGAGAAAAGGGTGCGTACCAGATGATTTTGCAAAAGCGATTGAGATGAGGATACACTAGAGCGTTGCGATATAATTGAGTTACGAGTATGTCCTGTCCTCAGCGTCAGCATATCATTCTAGCATCACGGCATAAGGGACGCGACTAACCAGATAAGGTATCTATGGGAGGTGAAGTATATGATGCAGATGAACGTGACGATTGCCGTGAAAGCATTGTCTGTGGGCGAGCGACCTTTGTGTTAGTAACAGCGTGGGCGCGGTTTACGAAAGGGAACATACTAGTCTGAGTGGTATTAACTTGCTATGTCGTGAACTTGCTGATGAAGGTGTAGATGCTATGTCGGATGCACTGGAGTTGGAGGGATCGGGGCTATGTTCTATTACTGATTCCATGTCGGTATGTATTCGGAGAGACAAAGATGAAGACGAAGCAGAAAGTGGTGGTTCGGAAGGCTGGGGAGAAGGAGCCGGGGACGGGTATCGAGATGACGATACAGAAGACGACTACAATGCGACTGTCAGCGATGCGAGGTCCACAGATTACTGCATATCGTGAAGAACGTACGGGATCACGCTGACGCCGGAAGCCCAAAGGCACCTTTGTCGACGATGGCGCCTCTAGTGAGCTCGCCGTCGACACGCGACGACTGGCCATCGGCGTGGGGTGTACGCTCGAAGAGCTGCCCACCACACTCCGCCCGCGGACCACAGGCGTATCAGGCTCAACCTGTGCCGTAGACGAGGATGCAACATCAGACGACTCGTTCTGTGAGCGCATGGAATTGGTGTCCATCAGGCGGGCATACAGTGACTGCAAGGCGCCATATTCCGCCTCCGTCTCCTCGAAGTCGTCGTCCAACTCAGCTGCCCACATGGACGAAGCGTGCGAATCCGCGGAGCGAGGAGTAGGGCGTCCGATAACAGTAAGGTCTGAGGCCGCGCGATGTCGTGCAAATGCTGAGGCAGTTGGTGTGACGACACTGGATTCAGCCAATTGTGCGGGCGGCAGCTCGATGGTGTTTTCTGTCTCCTGATTGACGTCTGCAGAAATCCCTGCGGCAATCGCTATAGACGCATAAGGTAAATCCTCGGTGTCGCCAATTGGCGTGGCTGATGAAGGTGGGATGGTGGGAGATACAGGTGCGGGTGATAGTTCGACATTGGGTTCTCTTCGCTGGTCATTGGGGCAAGTGAAGACTGGAGACCTGCGGGGAGATGTATCTGCTTCGCCCAAGGATGGTGGAGTGACGGCGGATGCGAAGAAAGATGACGACTCAAAGCCTTGTCCTTGTTGAGTAGTGCCTGGCGCGTTAGTTGGAGACCCGTATGATAGACCTTCGACATCGTTCGGTGAAGTTGATGGACCAATAGGGGCTGGAGACAATCCACGATTGGCAGCTATTGGTACGGCATTGACCGGAACAGCGACTGGGGTTGCGGGTAGGATGCCAGCTATGCCTGTTGGTGTAACTACCGAAGTCGCGGGGGAAAGAGGTAGCTGACGACTGGTGGGTGTTCGTACGCTATCGGTTAGAGCGGCAACTGGGGACGCGCGAGGCAGCGCCTCGATTTCGCTCAAAGGAGTGACCACAGAAGCAACCGGGGACGGAGGGCCTGTGCAGCTGGCGGACTGGACTATGCTGATCGCCGCGTTGGCTAGGGACACGTCAGCCACAGCATCCGCTACATCCAGTGGAACGACCGAAGGTGTGACAGGGCTTGAAGGCAATTCGCGATCGGCAGCCCTCACGGTATGGACTGATGCGGCGGCCGGGGACGCATAGGGCAGAGTCCCGACTTCACCTAGGGGTGTGATCGTAGAAACACTCGGGGACGGAGGGAGCACGCGCCTGGCGGATTGCACAGTGCCAATGGCCGCAGTGACTGTAGACCCATAACCCAAAGCCTCCACCGCGTCCAACGAAGCGCCCGAAGAAGTGACAGGGGTTAGAGACAACTGGCGACTGGCAATCTCTTGCACGATATTGACCGATGCAACAGCTGGAGACGCGTAAGGCAGAATCCCGACTTCATCTAGCGGAGTGACCACATAAGCAACCAGAGATGGAGACAGCACACGACCGTCGACTGTCTGCTCACCACCACCCGGGACGTCGTCGAGAGACGTGGCAGACGCAATCTCGTCTTCATCCATGAAAGTGGCCAAGTAGGCAACCGGCGACGGAGACAGCTCGTACTCACCCGCTACCTGCTCGACATCATCGACGATCGCGTAGGATCCCGTGGAAGATGCAGACGCAGACTCGGCTTCGCTCAAGAAATTGGCCAGGTAAGCAACGGGAGACGGAGACCGTTCGTAGTCGTAAGCTGTCTGCTCGATATCGTCGATAATGGCGTGAGGAGCCACGGGAGACACAGACTCGGCCTCGCCCAAGAAAGTGGACAAGTAAGCGACTGGAGACGGCGACAGTTCGTAGTCGTCCGCCAACTGCTCTGCAGCGCTAGCAGCAACGTAGCTCGAAAGGGACACGTCCGAGATAGACTCGCCAGCGTCGAAGACAGTCACAGTCCTGTCCGCCGTCTCCTCTGACACTGACCGACTTCGCGAAAACGCCGGTGATAGTCGCGGGATTGCAGTGCGCTGCGGTGTCGGAGACAGCTCAAGGGTAGAGCTCGCTTCCCACTGCGCCTCCTCGCTGTCGCCACCTTCTGAGGCGACGTCGTCCGTGAGATACATAGACGAAAGCGCCTCGACCTCGTCTTCTTCGTCAAAGACTGGCAAAGGAGGCAAACTCGAAGGCGTAGTCACCGACCGCCGAACAGCCGCCCGAACGTCGTTCTCCGCAGGACCACGTATCGAGATGGACGCGTCAACTATGTCCTCCTTCGCGGGGCTGGCAGGCTCTGCGGGCGCTCGAGGCGAGGCGAACGGAGACACGGGTTCAGCTACGAGCATAGAACGCGGCTCGACCGCCCGAACACCGCCGTTCCCACTCTCAACGTCGCCTGTAGAGGAGTCAGATCCATGTTCTTTCGCCGAAGTAGGAGGCGACAGACCTTGAGCTGGTATATATACAGACACCGATGGCGCGAGCGACGGGCGCGGAACAGCAATCCGAGCGTCGGCGTCCCCGCTCTTGACGTCGGCCGCAGGCGGGTTAGACGCGCCTTGCTCTTCCTTCGGAATGCCATGCGCGGGAGCTCGAGAAGGCGCGGAAGGCTCGGCCACGGAGCGCCCAGCAGCAAACTGAACGCCGCCACCCCCAGCTGCGACGTCGTCTGCAGACAGGAAAGCCGCCGCAGCCGTATCTTCCTTAGCCATGGTGGCAGGTAGTGCCGGCGATCGAGCAGACGCGGATACCGACGCAGACGCCGGAGACGCAAGCGCAGAACGTACGACAGACGCGTCGACATCTCCGTCCTCGTTCGCCATGTCGTCGGCAGAAGGAAACGCCACCGCAGCCACATTCCCCTCAGCCATGGTGGCAGGCAACGCCAGCGTTCGAGCAGACTCGGACGCGGGCACAGGCGCCGGAGACGTAAGCGCCGAGCGCGAGGCAGACGGATCGACATCATCGTCCACGGCTCCGCTATCGGCTGCTGCTGCAGACGAGAAAACCAATGCTGAAGCCATATCTTCCCCGGACAATCTGGCGGGCAGCGCCGGTGTTGATGTTCGAGCGGACGCGGGCGGCGGGGACACAATCGCAGAGCGCGGGACAACCGTCGCATCGACATCGTCGTCCTCGGTCTCCATGTCGTCTGCAGAGGGGAAGGCCACCGTGGACACGTCTTCCTCACTCGATGCGGCCGGCGATGCCGGTGTTCGGGCGGAAGCAGGGGTGGAGGCGGAGGCAGACACAGGCACCCGGGGCACAAGAGCAGGCTCAACGCGCGGGACAGCGGTATAGGCGACATCGACGTCCTCGTCCTCACACGCGACCTTGACCGAAGAGGGGAAAGTCACCGTCGACACGTCTTCCTCGGACGACGTCGATTTGGCAGGCGTCGCTAACGCTGGTGCTGGGGAACACTGTGACGCTGGCGCGGGTACGGATACGGGCGTAGCCACAACAGTAGCAGTGACAAACCCAGAACGCGGGTCGATGGCCCTTGAAGCATCGTCCTCTCCGGCTGGAGACGAAGCAGGATACGGAGAAGACAGAACAGACATAATATCCTCGTCCTCCCCCACCGAGTCCGACGCCGGCCCCAACGCGGAGGCAGAAGAGGTAGGCATAACCAGCGCCCGCGCAGACGCAGGCGCAGCGCCGAGCACGCAGCGCGTCGCGATCGTGACCGTCTGAAACCCGACCTCGTCTTCGTCGTCGTCGTCATCCAACTCAACCTCGCTCTCGACGGAGCTTTCGCTTGCAGCTGGGGAAGCGGGTGCGCTGCCGTTTGAAGCGGGGCCGGAAGTCGTAGACGCGGAGGAGTCCCGGTGCGCGGTCGGCACGGGGCGCGAGAAGACAGGTGTATGGAGAATGATGTTGTCTGTGCTCTCGTGCTTTCCGACGGTGTCAGCTGCAGCGGGTGTAGATGCACACGCTTCCTGTTCTGCTTCCTCCGAGTTCGGGTTCGTAGTCACCAGAGGTTGTACGGGTATTGACGTGGGCCCCTGTTGACGAGGCATCACAGAACGGGGCACAACTGTTCGAGCACCGTTGTCGCTGCTGTACACGTCGTCCACGGGCCTCCCAGCGGTGGCTTCGTCGACGAGATACGTAGGCGCGTCGGCGTATCTCATGTCCTCGGCGTAGATATCCGTGATGTCGAACGAATCGTCGTAGTTTCCCTCAAACGCCATCTCACCCTCCATCTCCTCCTGTTCCGCCACTTCTCCTTCTCCCTCCTCTTCCACATCCCCTCTCTCCTCCCTAGACTCGCCCATATTGCTAGCCCTGTCCAAAACGTCGAAGATGTCGTGCGAGAGCTGTTCTTGTTCCTGCGACTGCGTCTGCGCATGCACGTGCGGCTGGGTGCGGTACGACGACGCGCAGATGTCCTCCTCGGGCGGCTGCGCCGATGCGCAGCGCAGGGACGTGTTGAGCGACGACGAGCTCGCGTACGAAGGCAGGAGCGAGTCGCGGCGCGACGCCGCGGGGCTGCTGAGCTGCGTCGGGGACTGCGTTCTGTACTGGTCCTCATACTGGTGCTGGTACGGGAACGTGTACACGGGCGACTCCGCGGACTCGGTGTCGTCTTCGACGCTCGACGCGTGCCCCGAGTCGTGCCGTAATGGAGAAGCAGCAGACGCGTACGCAAGTTCCGCGACGGGCGAAGGCCGCGAGGGAGGGGGAGAAGGGGAAGAAGAAAACGCAGAATGTGGAGCCTGGGTCAGAGCCAGACTCGACGACGCCCGCCGGTGCACTCTCACGTCGTACGACACCCGCCGACGCAGCCCGACGGGCGAGTCGTCGCGCCGGAGGAAGACCTCGAGGCTGGACGGGGGGCGCGGCGCGGTGGGTGGCGACCGCGCGAAAGGATTTATGGGGCCCGTCCAGCTCTCGGCGTAGCCTGAATCGAGGGAATCTTCGCGCGCCGTGGCCGCGGCTGCGGCTTGATCGCATCCGGAGAGGCGGAGGGAGAAGGGACGCAGGCGGACGGACATTTCCACCGGGGAGAGAAGGCCCGAGGCGGAGGAGGCGGCGTCATCCGGGTCGGTAGGGTCGTAGGGGTCATCGGAGCGCGTATAGGTATAGTGGGCAGGGGAGGCGCGGCTTGGTTCCTTCGGGCCTGGGATTTCGGAAAGTACGCGTGAGGCGGGGGCACTGTCCACGTTCCTGGCATCATCGGGAATGGGAACTGAGGGACCTTGATCTTGATCTTCTCCCTGCTCGTGTACAGCGTTGTCGTCGGCGTCATCATCATCATCTAGGATGTACGACGGGTAGCTCTCCTCCTCTATCGCGTCTTCCGAGTCATCAGAGCGCGCGTCCGGAGCAGAAGAGTCCGCTTTGACGTAAGAATGTCCAGCAGCTTCATCGACAAGGGTCAGACCTTCCGCGAGACCGACAGAACTCGCAGCGTCCTCCGCCTCCGCCTCCGTTTCCATTCCACTCTCCGAGCCCGACTCGGAAGGCTCAAGTATCGGCTCGAGAGCAGCCAGGATTCCCGAGAGACTCTTGCTAGATTGAGTACTAACATCCGACGGTGGTGAGCTGACAACCACGGTGGGCGCAGGCTGGGCGGCAGCAGTCCAGTTGGGGTCAAAGGATGGCTTGCGAGGGTGTATGGCCCTAGAAACGGTGGTGGTAGCAAAGGTGGGTTCGACAGGGGACTTGACCTTGATGTCGTGCAGAAAATTGCAGGACTCGTTGAAGAGACAGCGACCTTGAGAATAAAATGGGCATGGCCGCGCTGAAGCCATTGGCAGGGACAGTAAGTACAGAATACCACAGTATGGTACAAGGAGAGAAAGAGAGAGAAAGAGAGACGTACTTCTGCGTTTCCATGCAGGTTCGCTGGAGGACATTCAGCGGCGCATGGGGGCCTTTTTGCCACCGTTGAAGTCGACCAAGGGATGGGGATACAAGGAGGAGGAGGAAAGGTCAAGCAACCGAGCTGTCGGCCCACTTAGCCGAACGCTAACAACACCATTAATATTCCACCGTGCGAACTCCGTCACTCACTATGGCTGCCCGCATCCCCCGCCTCCCCCGCCTCACCCTCTACTCCGGCCCAAGCTGCTCCTTGTGCGACGTGCGTTGACGCTCTCAATCTTGTCTCGCAGGGAAGTCGCCGACACACTAACCTCTTTCGCAGATTGCCAAAGCGGAGCTCGCCAAAGTCCGGCAATCGGTACGTCGCATCGCGTTGCATTGCCATCACTCGTCACTCACCCGCCTCTCCCTCGCTCTCGCTACTGCCCTTTACGTTCTCACCTCAATTAAACCACAGCATCAGTTCGAGCTGGACGTGGTCAACATCCAGGACAAGGGCCAGGAAAAGTGGAAGAAGAAATACGTCTACTGGATCCCGGCGCTCCACCTCGATGGCAGGGAGATAGCCAAGGGCCGCTGGGACGCGTCCCACGTTCTCAAGGCGCTCGAGGAGCGCAAGGTTCCGACGGACACTCCCCACGACCAGTAGAATCCTTGAATACTTCTCAAGTTGAACCAGATAATAGCACACCCTTCTTCCAATACGACGCTGTCCCACCCCACCCATGGACAGTCCAATGGTCGTATTACGACCGCAACTCGCTCGACATTCTCGGCGACGAGGCCCCAGAGTCCACTGCAGACGCCGCTCCAGCTGTCGCGGACCCAGCAGACGAGCGCCGCTGCTTCAACTGCGGCTCCCCCGAGCACGCGCTCGCCGCGTGCATACAGCCACACGACCGGCAGGTCATCGCCCTCTCCCGCCAGCTGTTCAGCTTTCTGCGTGCCGACAGAGACGCCCTCGAGACCGGCCGTTTTCATGTTGTCGAGGCGTGGAGAGCGCAGCGCCTGGAGTGGCTCGAAGTGTTCCAGCCTGGGAGGGTGGTCGGCCCCGAGCTTAGAGATGCACTCGGCTTGTGGCCGAAGGACACGGGCGAGAGCACAGAGTGGCTGAGGAACATGTCGAACTGGGGGTATCCGCCTGGGTGGGTCGCCGGACGGGACCCACGGATTGCTGTGCGCGAGCGCATTCTTGGCGAGGAGTCTGACCTTGTAGGCGACGCGGAAGAGACGGAGGCGAATTCGTTTGGGATTTTCAATGATGACGAGCTAGAGGAGCTCGATCTGTCTACTGCACGGCTTAAGCAGCCTGCGGCTCTTGATCTTGCGGTGTCACCGCCCTCCACTGAGGGCGAAGAGAGTGACAGTGTTCGATCTGTTGAGACCACCCAACGGCCTGTAAGGCGCTGGGCAAAGTACCCGAACACGTTCTTCTATTCCGATAAACTCACTGTATACAGTGGGTATACGCTACCAAGCCTCGACGGTTCCGATACATCCAGCTCGCGGGAACCTTTACCCTCGCCTCCGCCTCCGTCTTCACTTCCGCCTCCACTGCCTCCTCCACCTCCATCTTCCACACCGCCACCCTTGCCGCTACCGTCACCTGGCTTAGCGGGAGCTCTTGATCTTAATCACACGTCGATCTCTCATGAACATGGCTTCAGTGACGGTTTACTATCAGACCAAGAGGTCGACATGGACCTATCAGACTCTGAGTCCGAAGGCTAGCCGACCACCTTATGCCTTCTTTCCTTCCTCGACCTATACCAATTGCGACGCACGCATCACAGTTCAGAGCCTAATAGCATACAAAAACCCATCGAACGACTTTTCCCCCGCCGTTGCGATCGTCGTCGCGTCCACCTCCGCGTCCTCCTTGATCATGCGCAGCATCTCGCGCGTGCCCTCCTGGTCCGGCTGCGTGTTGCTCAGGTCCGCGATGCGGCCGCGGCGGATGACGTTGTCCACGATCTATGCATAATGATAACGCAATGCGTACAGGATCGCGCACGGTCGCTTGTCAGCTACGAGTCCAGAACGAAGACGAACAATAGGAACATGTGGTGACATACGATGACGCCGCCGCTGCGCACGAGCCGCTTCGCCTCGCGGAAGTACGTGGGGTTGCTCTTTTTGTCTGCGTCGATGAAGGCCATGTCGAACGGCTCGGACTCGGAGGGGTGGAGCGCGGTGATCGAGGCGACGGCGTCGCCGACGATGATTGAGATTTGGTGTGCTATGCCTGCGGCTTCCCAGTTTTGCTTTGCGACCTGGAGGGGGCGGTTAGCGTTGACTCTGAATTGAAAGGGAGATCGGTGCGGTGGTTCGGGGTGCTTGAGGCTTGCCTTTGCGCGCTCCTCGGACAGCTCGAGTGTCACGATGCGGCCGTCGGGCGGGAGACCCTGTGCGATCCAGATGCTCGACACGCTGTATTCAGTCGTCAACACTTGGGATAGTGTGCCACCCTGTTGAAGGCGCACACAGGCACGGGCACGGGCATGGACACTCACCCCCCGAGCGTCCCGACCTCCAACACGCGTTTAGCGCCGATGCTCCGCGCGACGAGCCGCAGGAACTTGCCCTCGTTGCGCGCGACGGAGATCTGCGGGAGCCCGTGCGCTGCGCTGTTCGCGAGCGCGTGTTCGATCGCTGCGAGGCGTTCGGCTTCGCCTGGGGCGGTGCGCTCGAGGAGGAAGGAGTTGTGGAAGCGGATGGAATGTGCCCAGTCGGGGTTGTGTGGGGTGTCTGTGGATGTCATGGTGCGTGCGTGCGTGCGTGGGCTGCTGCCAGACTATCAATGCATACTTATACTGTAGGTAAGGGTGGGTTATTGACGTGAGTGTCTTATCAGCTGGACTGGGCGGAGGAAGTACTAGACTGCGGATGAGTTGGTCAGGGTCCCGGCATGGTTAGATTTGGCTGAGCTAAGTTTACTCGGAGCGAAAACTGGGATACCAGGGATGTGCCTGGTCAACTAAGGAGGGAGTTTTGTGCAAGACTTTGTGCGTGGGTGTTCTATGTTTCTGGCAGTAAGGCCTGTTGCGCCGCGATCGGCAGAGACAATCCAGAACGTCGGTTCCGGTCTTGTGCTACTTGCTTATCGCTTTCCCAGAATATCATGACCACTATGGTTAGAACATAAGATTAATAAAAGAGGCACGAATGGTCTACTATGTCTCGACGTGTGCAGTCAGGGGTTCCTGCACGTGGCATCATAAGACTCAGAGCGTGGGAAATTGGATCGCAATCTGCCCCCGCTGACAGAAACTTGGCTTTGTGCTCACAGCAACTCAAGTCGGGCACCTTGGCCAACTCGCTCGACGAACAACGCCATGGACACATTCGACAATTTCCAGTACGACTCAGCCTCCTCCTACGGTGGCATAAGCGTCATAGACGACAACTCATCGGTATACACCGCTACCACCAACCAACACCCTGGCGTCGATCTCGACTCGCTCTCCTTGGTCGACGATCGTTCCCAGACCTCGTCTGTATCCAACGGACACGAAGGGCACAACCACAGAACCGCAAAGACGGGAGTAGTGGACGAGGACTTTGATGCCGTCCTCGATGACCTCAAGGACGAGGGCGCCATGGATCTCCCGCCCCACGCCTGCAGGTACGCCGCACCCCGTCGCTGACTTATTCGCAACGCTAACCATGTATGCATTCTATGCAGCTACTGCGGCATCCACTCTCCCGCGTCCGTCGTCAAGTGCCTCGTCTGCGCCAAGTGGTTCTGCAACTCCCGCGGCAACACCTCCGCCTCCCACATCGTGAACCACCTCGTCCGCGCCAAGCACAAGGAAGTCATTCTCCACGCCGAGTCGCCCCTCGGCGAGACCGTCCCCGAGTGTTACAATTGTGGCTCCAAGAACGTGTTCATGCTCGGCTTTATCCCGGCTAAGAGCGACACCGTCGTCGTCCTTCTCTGCCGGTACGTCCCATCTTCAGCGCTAGATATTCCCTTCCTTAGCACTCACCGTTTTCTTTCCTCGCCTCTTCATCTAGCCAACCATGCGCAGCAATAACCAAAGACATGTCCTGGAACGCCACCCTCTGGGCGCCGCTCATCGACGACCGCTCCTTCCTCTCCTGGCTCGTCAAGCCCCCCTCGGAGCAAGAACAGCTCCGCTCGCGCCAGATTTCGTTCGCGCAGATCAACAGGCTCGAGGACCTCTGGCGCGAGAATGCAAACGCAACGCTCGAGGACCTCGAGAAGCCCGGCGTCGACGACGAGCCTGCGAGTGTTTTGCTTCGCTACGAGGACGCGTACCAGTACCAGAACATATTCGGCCCGCTCGTCAAGATCGAGGCGGACTACGATAAGCGCCTCAAGGAGAGCCAGACGCAGACGGATATCGTTGTGCGATGGGATCTGGGGTTGAACCAAAAGCGCGTGGCGTGGTTCTGCCTGCCGAAGCTGGAGAGCGGGGAGGTGAGGCTTGCTGTGGGCGATGAGCTGCGGTTGAGGTATCAGGGGGAGATGAGGAAGCCGTGGGATGGGGTTGGGCATGTTATCAAGATCCCGAACAGTGAGTGGTGTGACCCTGCATGTATGCGCTTTGGTTTGCTGATTCGTGCGCAGACGTGTCGGATGAGATCGCTCTCGAGCTTAGGAGGACTGAGGGTGTTCCGACGGATTGCACGCATAACTTTGTTGCGGACTTTGTGTGGAAGTCTACGAGCTTTGACCGTATGCAGCTCGCGATGAAGACTTTTGCCGTGGATGAGAAGAGCGTAAACGGGTATATTGTACGTCTTCCTCCCCTTTTCTTGGCGTGACAGTTCATTAACCCGGCGCTCATTACAGTACCACAAACTCCTCGGACACGAGCTCGAGCCCCAAGTCCTCCGCACGCAGATGCCCAAGCGCTTCTCCGCGCCCGGCCTTCCCGAACTCAACCACTCGCAGATGTACGCCGTCAAGTCCGTCCTGCAGAAACCCATCTCCCTCATCCAGGGCCCGCCGGGCACGGGCAAGACCGTCACGTCGGCCTCGATCGTGTACCACCTCGCGAAGATGAACCCGGGGCAAGTCCTCGTCTGCGCGCCGTCGAACGTCGCCGTCGACCAGCTCACGGAGAAGATCCACTCGACGGGCCTCAAAGTCGTTAGGCTGACGGCCAAGTCTCGCGAGGCGCTCGATTCGAGTGTGGCGTTTTTGACGCTGCATCAGCAGGTCGCGCATAGCACGGCGCACGTTGAGCTGCAGAAGCTGATTCAGCTGAGGGACGAGCAGGGCGAGCTGAGTAGTGGGGACGAGAGGAAGTATAAGAGCTTGATTAGGCAGTGCGAGAAGGAGATTCTGGGCGCTGCGGATGTGATTTGCTGTACGTGTGTGGGCGCGGGCGATCCGAGGTTGAGCAAGCTCAAGTTCCGGACGGTGCTCATTGATGAGGCGACGCAGGCCGCTGAACCTGGTGAGTGAATCCGCCTTCTATACAGTGAGGAACGTATTCCTGACCACCATTTGTCATCCGCAGAATGCATGATCCCCCTCGTCCTCGGCTGCAAACAAGTCGTCCTCGTCGGCGACCACCAGCAGCTCGGGCCTGTGATCATGAACAAGAAAGCCGCGCGCGCGGGCTTAACGCAGTCGCTCTTCGAGCGGCTCGTCATGCTCGGGAACCGGCCGATCCGGCTGCAGGTGCAGTACCGCATGCACCCGTGCCTGTCCGAGTTCCCGTCCAACATGTTCTACGAGGGCACGCTGCAGAACGGGGTGACCGCACCCGAGCGTCTGCGCAAGAACGTGGACTTTCCGTGGCCTGTTCCGGACACGCCGATGTTTTTTTATCAGAACTTGGGCCAAGAGGAGATTTCGAGTAGTGGGACGTCGTTCCTCAACAGGTTTGTTGTTTTGGCTTTCGTTGCTCCGATGTTTTTGGAGGAGATGCTGATGCGGGCCTTTCCCCCCTCTAGGACGGAAGCCTCCAACGTCGAGAAGATTGTGACCAAGTTCTTCAAGTCGGGCGTTGTGCCCGGGCAGATCGGCATTGTGACGCCGTACGAGGGCCAGCGGTCGTACATGGTCAACTATATGCAGTTCAACGGCTCGCTCAAGAAGGAGCTTTACAAGGAGGTCGAGGTTGCCAGTGTCGACGCGTTCCAGGGCCGTGAGAAGGACTACATTATTCTCAGTTGCGTGCGCAGCAACGAGCACCAGGGCATTGGGTTCTTGAACGACCCGCGTCGGTTGAATGTTGCGCTTACGCGAGCGAAGTATGGGGTGGTGATTTTGGGGAACCCGAAGGTGCTCAGCAAGGTATGTTTGCCTACAGACTGGATGTATGCGCGATGCTGACCCAGACCTGTTCGTAGCACCCGCTCTGGCACTACCTCCTCACGCACTACAAGGAGAAGAACTGCCTGGTCGAAGGACCCTTGAACAATCTGCAGCCTTCCATGATACAGTTCAGCAAGCCCCGCCGCTCGCTCGCCAAGTCGCTCGACCAATTCAGGCGCCACGAGACCACCGCGCGGGACTATCTTGGCCCTGGGACATCCAACGCGCCGTCCATTCCTGGCATCCCGAGCGCTAGCGGTGGCCGCTCGGGCACGCCGAGCCGCTTCGATGCGAGCTTCTACAGGACGCACGATGCGCTCGGCTACATCCCGTCGGACGTGCAATCGCTTCGCTCGCAGGCGACGTACGCGTCTGGCCTGCCGATGTTCGCGGCCACGGGCGGCTTTGGTCCCGGTGCGCCCGGCGGCGCGCGTGGAGGCGGAGGCGCGAAGCGCAGTGCGTATGGAAGCTACGCGAGCTCGATCATCTCGCAGGACGCGCCGCCTTCCTCCGTCTCGCATGCGCCTTCTTCCGTTATAGGCGTGGGCGCCCCCGGCGCGCCCACTGGCGCACCTGGTGCGATCGGAGGTGGCCCCGGCGGGACGGGGCTGGGCGGCGGGCTGGCGTACAACCAAAGCGACCGGCTGAGGAGGCGAGCGAGCTTCTCGAGCTCGAGCGTCGCGGGTGTGTCGGACATGGGCAGTCTGAGCGCGTACGACTATAAGTCCCAGGACGGCGCGACGGACGACGACGTGCGGAGCCAGTATACGGGCACGCATTCCGGGATGACGGTGTACTGAGGGCAGCGCTCTTCTGCATGTGCAAACACAGCGCCGCTCGTCACTGCGGTTCCGTTTGCCCCCGTTTCTGGTCTGGTCTTCGAAATTGCATCCTATACTGCTGAGCCCCGCGCAGAGCCGCTCCGCCTGTCCTACAAGTGTAGCTGCCTGCTGTACGCGGATCATCGTGCTAAGGCTGAGGCTAGCCGTTCAAGAAAGCCACTTGATCCGGCACTCGAGTAGGCCGTTTATGCCACCTGCACATCTCCTACCCTGAATGGATCCATCTGGCTTGGCATCCACCAACGTCCCCCGCCCTCCGTCTCCATCTCCCCTGCAACAAGCGCGAGCGTCGCGCCCGCGAAAGGCTCCGCTGAGCTAGCCTCATCTTACCCACACCACGGATGGCACGACCTGAACCGGCATGCGCTGCACCTGTCCGTACAACAATGCACGACTCAGTCTCGAATCAGCCTCTTATACATACCTACTTACATATAGCATATGTAGCGATCCTCTTATTTTTCTCATTTTCAGAAGTTCGTACATCCTCGTGCTCGAGCAGAAACCGGTTATGTCCATTATGTGTACCTGTCAGTTTATGCACCTGTTCTTGCGTATCCACAATGTCATTTGCAGTAGAAATGTTTTGAAATGATGTGTCTGGGGTCTACATTCATGGTTTATAAGGATGGCTGTAAATTGAGCGTGAATTGAAGACTTGCGCGTACTGACATGGTCACTTCAGTCACCCCCTTTCTAGACCCCTCATAGGGTTGTTTTCCCCACCCAAATTTTGACCCTGTAAGGGGTCTACCAAGCTGTAATATCCTCATTTCCATGGTTATTCAAGCATTTTGGGGTGAATGTGCTCTTATACGAGTAGCATAAGTTTGAGTTTCTCAAAAGCATGGCTGGGGTGTCCTGGGACGGGTTTGGATATCCAAGCACTTCCATACAAAGACCATACATGGATATCCACTGCATGGTTTCTCCAGGGGTGTCAGGGGTCCTTGGCTACATAAATCTGGGTTTTGGCTCTAATATCGTCAATCCATACACCCTACACGGCACCCTG